CTGCTCATCGTCAGGGCTGGTTCCGGAGCAGATCCTAGTGGGGAGATGGCCCAGCACGGCACCGCGCAGCCCCTAATGGGATCAGTTTTGGAAACACACAGATCTTGAATAAGCCCACATGGACTCCACTCACAGGACAATGTTGCGTTCTCCTCCCGCCGCAGTAAAACTGAAAATGCCCAGGAGAGGGTGGAAGCTGGGGGCCAGAACTGTCTCAAAGAAGCCACCGGCCTGGGATGAGGGCCCTCTCCTCCATCCTGGCCAGCTCCAAGACAGGCACTGGGGGTAGAAGCCAGGAGGGAGAAGAGGAGGTGGCTTCCAGGACCTGCCATCAGCCCAGCTCACCCTACCTTCCCAGGAAACGGGAGCCTGCGCCACCCCACCTGGGTGGCAGCTGCAGCCTTTTCCTAAGCTCTCCACCCCCGTGTGACTCTGATAGTCATTTGAACCTATCTCATCTGGATAGGTACATGAAGGGGCAGGGGGGAGCAGATGAGGGCAGAGACGGAAGACCCTGAGCCTCTGCACCCTCCAGGGAGTGAGGTGCAGTGTGTTAGCTAAAAGAGCCTGGCTGTGCTCCAGGCAGGGCTGGGTTCAAATCCCAGCTGGTCACTTACTCTGTTTAGCTGCAGGTTTATCTTCTACAGAATGGAAGGCAAGACGTCCGCCCTGTATAGCTGTTGCCATGATGAAGTGACAGGCACACCGAGTGGCTGGCACTCAGCAGGCACTCCTTGAATGCTGCTCCGTTTCCCTCTGCGTTTCTAGAAGCCGGCCTGGGGTGGGGCCTGCGAGCATGCCACGCCTTTCTTCGTGGCCGCGCTGAAAAGAACGCTGCGTACCCAGCGCCAATCACCTCGAATGGCATCGGAGTGATAAGCAAATGACATGGAATGAACTTGGACACATAAAGCCAGGCGGCATTTTCTGATCTGCGAGCTCCTACGAAACACCCGGGAAAGAAAAAGGGTGTTCTTGCAGTGTGCCCATGCTGATGGGGGAGGCAGCCCCGGCCCAGAGGGTTCCCCTTGGGCTCCCAGCAGCTTGGATGGGTGGCAGAGAAGGCGCCACGCTGAGCCAAGCCCCGGAGCCTTCTAAGACTCACCCAGCCCTTCGTTATCACAACTCAAAATCACGCTTTATGTCTCTTCACACGCAATCTCTCTCAAGCTCCCCAAATCCCCCCACTAAGCCTTCTGAAATCAGCAGAACCATCTGCTTCGGGCATGGACTGAGAAATCACACAAAAATTGCCACACAAAGGTCATTATTTCCGGAGGACAAAGAGAGGAAGTGCAGCTTTTAATAAAGGCTGGGGGCCACGGCGGAAAGCGACCGGCCCTGGCTGGCGGAGGCCTGCCCCTTCCCTCGCCCTGACTGCGCCGGCCTCCCTGCGCATTGACGGGCTGCATGAGGGCCGGATGCTGCATCCCTGGAGCTGGGATGGTCGAGGGCTCTGAGCTCATTAAAGCTTTGTCTCCACAGCCTAGGAAAAGGGAAGAATTGTGGTAATTACTCAAACAATCCCACGAGGGGGAAAGAAACCATTTTGTGTTGGAAAAGACAGCTTTGGAGGACAGGTCCAAATATCTCCACCTTCTCCGCTGCCCAGAGAGGTGGTAATATGGACGGCGCGCCCCTCCCCCAACAGTAATACTTGGACCGCGTGGCTCCCTAGGGAAGATGCCGAGGGTCCAGCCTCTCCAGGACAAGGCCAGTCCAGAGCCTGCCGCAGGGCAAGCAAAGGACACATCCCTCGCTCAGATCTGGAAATGTCACATGGGAGAAACTCCAGGGACCTCAGGCAGCAGTTAAATACTGCCATTTAGAGTTCTCTAATCCAGCTGAGCAGAAATTTCCAGATTTAAATTGTGCTCACCCAGGCATGATGAATCGTCTCAGACAGTCTTGAGTTTGCTCCAGCTCCCCTCGCCGGCGGTCAGGTCCTTATTTGACTCCACAGTCGACACCCTCACAACCTCAAGACTCAGCACGGGTTGCCAGTTGGGTGTCCACAGAAAGAAAGGCAAGCCGCCAAGCCCCCATTGGAGTCCCCATCCCCTGAATTAAGGGGTAATAATAGCAACACAGTCAAGGGGGACTTGACGAGGACCAAGAGGCTGTTTAGTGTCCTTGAAAAACTCTGGCCTTGAAGCCGTCAGGATCTGAGCTGGGATCTTGCAGGTGTGAGGACTTGAGCAAGTTACTCCGTTTCTCTGGGCTTCGGACTGTCTGGGTGTTGTAAGAGGGATAATAAAGAGAATTAACAAAAATGTAACCTCCATCCCCTAGATGGTGTCTGGCTCACTGTCTCCAAGGTAGAAAAGGGACCATTCCACAGTGGTCGCTAAGTGTTATGCAATGTGCAAAGCTACTTTACACTCAGAAACAACTCTGAAGGGGGGGACCAGAGAAGTGTCTTTCTCCCAGGTGGCTGTGGTTTGTCCAAGACCACCCTGCTAGTTAGCTGTGGAGCCAGCATGACATGGCGACCGTCTTGGTTCCTAGTCCAGTGCTCTCTCAGCTCTCACACGTGCTCCTTTGAGAGTGAAGGGGAGAGGGACTAACAGGACTCTGAATAAGGAAGATTTCTGTACTGTCCCCATGGGATTAACGTGAGGATCTGTTGCTTGGAGGGGGGCCTCACCACCCAGTGTCATCCCCAAGTGACCCAGGAGATGTCTCAAGATGGCAGGGTTTTCACACCATGTTTCATGGAACCCTAGATCCACAGAGGTGCTTTGGGGGCTGCAAGGGGTGGTGTGGGTGGGTGGATATGGGTACACCAGGTTCCCCATCCAACCAGAACAATGCCAGCTCTTACCTACAAGGCTCTGGTGGGAGACCTAGTTTGTTTATATTGGGCTTCTGTTTAAGATTTAATATGAAGCAAAGAGTTATTCCTTAAAGAAGGAGGAGGAGGAGAGGAGGAGGGGAGGGGGGGAGGGGAAGATGAGGAAGAGGATAAAAAGGAGGAGAGAACGAAAAAGAAAGAAAAGTAAAGCAAAGCTTGAGATCCACCCTCCTGGGAGCTTCGGAGAACAGAACCCAGAATGCATCCCTGTGGATATTAGGGATAGAGGTGCAGCCCTTTCTGAGCTACGGCAAGCCCCTCACACCTGCTTCGTACCTTCAGGCACACACTGGGCACTTGCTGTGTGCAGAACCCCCAGCCCAGGTGGCGGGTGGGTGAAGTAACATAGAGGTGATGACCCGACCTCTGAGACTTGGAGGAAGCAGAACAGACAGCCAAAGGCAGAAGAAGGGGGCCAACAACTGCTAATTAAGGAGGTCAGTCTGGTCCTTGGGCTACATTATTTTGGAATTTCCCCTTTTTATTTATATGCTCTGTTTCCCCAAACCAGACTATAATTTTCCAGGAGGCAAGAAACACATCTCACTCAGCATTACTCCTTCTCATACATGTCAGATACGAGAAGGTTCACAATCTTGTGGGTGAGAGATCAGTAATCCCAGCATGGCATTACTGATCTTCTCTGCGGACTGGGAGCCATGGAAGGTCCCACAAAGGAGGTGAAATTTAAGCTGCATCTTGCAAGAATAGCAGCTCTCCATACTCTTCTTTCACTTGCCTGGGGGCTCAGTGCTGCACTGCACGGGAAACCCATCAGGGGTGCCAAGGTGAGCTTTGGGGAGGTAGGAAGTACAGGTGCTGGCCTCGGCCTTCTGGAAGGAAGAGCGGGGAGCTTGCTTTTGAAGGAGAAGGAGCCTGCATTGGCTCTGAGGGAAAGGAGTGTGTCCAGGTTGAGATCATGCCAGCAGCAAAGGCAATTAAGTGAAGCCAGCAGGGCTTGAGGCAGAGGCTGGCAATAAAGGGGAGGAGGTGAGGGAAAGCCAGTTAAGCTCGAGTAGAGCGAAAAGCAAAAAGAAATAAAGGTGTTGAAGAGTGAACTGGGAAACAGAGGGAAACAGCTAGGGGCTGGGATGTTTGAATCTAGTATAACTGGAGTGTTCCTGGTTTCACAGTAATATACCATCAGAAATGTAATCATGGGGGAGCGCCCCACTTCAGTCAGAGCCTCACCACCTCCCTATGAAGCAGGGATCCTAGTCCTTCCCAAAGGACCTCTGGCTGACACCTCCCATCTGCCTCAACCCCAAAGCCTGCGTGCTCCCCGGCCCCTGCAGGATCTGGGGGAGCTGCGGGGAAGCAGGAGCCACCTGGGTACCAGAGGAGAGTGGCAGGGGCCTGGCTTGGCTTGCAGTGTCTCCCAGCTGTGACACATCTGGGGCTTCTGGAAATCTGACCCGAAGACTCCCACACTCCTATACATTCATCTCCAGGTAATGGCCCGTATTTGTACCCGGGGAAAGGAGGGACACCTCCCCACACACGTAACCACATATTAAAGAGTCCCCCGGGCCGACTAAGGGGAGGCTGGTGTCCTGGGTTGTGTAAGGAGGAGGCTGGAAACGTGGTTTCCCTTCGGAGCTCCTGGGGAACTGGCGCCGCGGCTTCCTTCGCTGTAATAATGTGAATGAACCCTGGGAGACGGGGAGCGAGCGCACGCGAGAGCGGGGAGGGGAGGAGAGGCGGGGACGGAGTGAAAACCCCGGCCGGGTGGGGGCGGGGGTGAGCGGAGAAGAGGGGGGCGCACACCCGGGCGGGGGCCGAGGCGCGAGGGGCGGCGCCGAGAGGAGCGGGGCGCGGGCCCGGAGCGTGGCGGCGGCGGGCGGCGGCGCGGAGCGAGCGGGGCGGAGGCGCGGGCCGCGCGGGGAGGGCGGGCCGAGAGGGAGGAGCCCCCGGCCGCCGCCAGCCGGTCGGGCGGTCCGCGCAGCCCGCACTCGCCGCCCCGCCTCGGAGTTTGAGCCCCGGCGCTGCCGGAGCGCAGGCACGGCCGGGGCGCGGGGTCGGAGCGCGCAGCGCGGCGCCGCCCCCCGGCCCTCGGCCCCCTAGCCCGAGCGCCCCCGGAGCGGCGCGCAGAGGAAGGCAGGCGGGCGGGCGCGGCGGGCCGGGCCGGCGGGCGGCGGACTATGAGGCGCCCACCATGGTGCGATGCGACCGCGGGCTGCAGATGCTGCTGACCACGGCCGGAGCCTTCGCCGCCTTCTCGCTCATGGCCATCGCCATCGGCACCGACTACTGGCTCTACTCCAGCGCGCACATCTGCAACGGCAGCAACCTGACCATGGACGACGGGCCCCCGCCCCGCCGCGCCCGTGGCGACCTCACCCACTCGGGACTGTGGCGGGTGTGCTGCATCGAAGGTACGGCCGGCGCCGGCATCCCCCATCCCCGACACGCGCGCGCGACCTCCCACCCCCTGTCCGGGGCGCCGGCCGGGAAGGGGGTGGGCGCGGCTCTGGCTCCGCGCGAGACACAAAGGAGCCGAAACGAGCGGGCGGGTCCCCTCGCGGCCAGCTGTGTACCAGCTCGGGGTCGTTCCCGGCTGGGGACCCCCCAACACAGCGATCCCACAAACTCTCCACTAGCACACGCACACCCCCTCGCACACAAACACAATGAAACACACCGAAACTCACGCGCGCGCACGCAGCCGGACACCAGAACGATCCCGAGGGACCGCGCGGGCGCCCCCGGGGGAAGGTGGAGGCCAGCTGGGGGCGGGAGGAGGCTGGGGTTGGGGGGAGCGGACCGGAGAGGAGGGGAAGGAGGAGGGGGAGGGGTTGCTTGGCAACCGGTGTCTCTGCGATTGCTATGGGAACTGGCCATCCTGGGGCGGGGCCGGCCGGGGGCGGGGAGCGCCGGGACCGTTCGGCTCCAGATCCAGGCCCGGTCGAGGGGTGGGGGTGGGGGCTGGGCTCCCAGCGGGTCTGGGGGAGCCGAGTCTCTTGACCCTGACACCGCCGCCGAGACTGCTTCTCCGGAGCTACTCGTCCGCTCCTACCTGCTGGGTGGGAAGGAAAGGGGATCGCCACCCAGTCTCCTCCGATTGGGACAACGAGCCCTCTGTGGTAGTTCCTGGGCACGGAGGCTGCGGGAGATCTTGGTAGAGAACTGGGGTGTGCAGGGGTGAACCGTGGACCGGGAACGGCCTGGGAGGGCGTGGCCGCCCCGTCAGAGGGCAAGAGAGGCGGTGCACCTGGACCCTGGTTGCACTAGAGGCCGAGTAGTAGGCGTTGTAAGGTTGGGTGCCTCTAGGGCGGGAATTGGGTGCCCCGGGACTGTGGGGACCGCTCCCTCCAGGGGCGAGGCCCGGGTGCCTCCAGTGGCCAAATGCGCCCGACTTCAGCGCCTCTCGGTGCCTGCCCGCCCAGCTGCGGAACTCTTACTAACAGGTGGCTGTGGAGAGGCCGTCTGGTCCCAGTCAGGTTGTGGACGGGTCTGCCGCTTGGCCTTGGCTCTCAAATTGGAGACGGAATGGGGGTCATTGGCAGAGCGTTCCTTTAAAAAAAATTCCTTGGATAGAGAGTTTCGTCTTGTTTTTCTGTAACCTTTTCCCATGTGTTAACTCCGCCCCTTGGTTTTTCGGGAAGTTCTCCCACACACCTAGCCTCCTTCACTGCAGTTTCAGCCCCTGCAGATAGTTCCGTGTGGTTGGATCTTGCTGGAGACTGGCAGGGAGTTCTTAAAAAGATGGCCCTTTTCTGGCCGAATTTGGAGTCATTTCAAAAGAGGCTTTGTGAAGCTGGGGAGGCTTGGTGAGGGCCAACATGTCCCCTTTCTCTCCTCCTAGACCATGCACGTTCTCACCTGAAGCCCTGCCCACCTCTGCCCCCCACATCCTCTCCCAAGCTAGGCTGCGTTACCCTTTGCCAAGTGGAGTTGGATGCCGGGGTGAACGTGCAGGCAGTAGTTTGGGAAACAGCTGCACAAAGGATGGGTGGGCCCATGATCACACCCTCCTCTTTTCTTTTGAAAAACATCGTTTTTGGTGTGCAGTTGTTCAGATCCCGAACACCTACTCCTCTCATTTAGAGAACGTACCCACGTCACTCCTGCCGTGGCACCTGAGTTAGACACAGAGCAGGGGCTGCAGGGCCTGCCTCTCAGGCTCCACTGGGCGCTGTCCACATGGCACAGTAAGTCATGCTGCTGTCACCACCCAAACGCACACGTGAAGCCCAGACCTTCCTCTTTCCCAGTGGAAACGAACTGCTCCTCGCCGGCAAGCTGGGCCTCTGCAGAGTGGCATCAATGTCTCCTTTATTAATTCCTCGTCCTAATTAGGATTGATGTGTTCATCAAGAAAGCCTCGGGCTCTGGGCAGCTGGCTTCGCTGGCAGAGGGAGAGTGGGGAATTGCCATCTGGGGGACTTCACCAATGCCTCTGTCATCCCCCAAAGGTAAGGGGTTTGAGGGCCAAGCCAGGCCACCTTCCAGGGCTAGAACATCCTTGGACCAACCGGGGTCTGGGAAAGCTGATTCAGGATTCCTTGTCATGGCCAGAATCCCCATGACAGCCGCTCAACCTGTGTGGAAGCTGCCAGCTTATCTCATCAAAGCACATCACAGAGTCCGACAGCCTCCTGACATCTGTGAAGCCACCACCTGCCATCGAGTGTCTGGGCTGAGATGCAGACAACACATTAACCCCGGGCCACTCCCTGGGGGCACGGGGAGACCCAGTCACCTCAATATTGGCCTTTGTATGTTAAATGCATTATTTCCACCTGTTCTCTAACAAAGTGCCCCAAATCGTTACATCAGAAGAAGGAGAGAGGGAAGATCAAATCTCTAAGCGGAAACTGAAGAAATACTGCAGCAGGCAGCTAACAAAGCGCCGGTTGTGACGGCGGGACTCTGAAGGGTTCCCTGGCAACTCACAAACAGTGGATTCAGTTTTCTGGTGGTTTCTCATAAATGATGTTGCAGGGCCAGGAGAACCCAGCACTCTGTATACGTAAAGCGGTCATGCAGTTTGGCAGGGCTCTGTGCAGAAAGGCAGCTGGGTGACATCACCCCAGCCTCTTTCTGACATCCCCTGACCCAAACCGGGTCTTCCCCTTCTGCCCTCCTCTTGGACCATTGTCAAAGTATTCCAGTCCGAGACGTGTGCCTGTTACCCATGGCATGAACACAAGGGCCCTGAGAGGGCGCTGTCTTCACCCCATCTGCAGACAGGAAGCAGGTTCAGAGAAGGTAAGGCATTTGCCCAGGGGCCCCCAGGTAGGAGGCTGCAGGGCCAGATTTGAGCAGTCTCACTACAGAGCTCTGCCCACCATGTCATCCTGCCCTTTCCCAAACAGCTTCAGGGTTGCCATTAAAATAGAACCAAGTATTTGACTACCCAGGCATGAAGGCATTTAGACGTGAGAAGGTGCCATGATACACAGATATTGCATAATGCATGCTCTTTCTCCCCTCCCCTCCCCTCCCCTCCCCTCCTCTCCTCTCTCTACTTCTGTCTCTGTCTCTGTCTCTGTCTCTGTCTCTCTCTATATTTATCTATCAATCTGCCTGTCCGTCTCTCTCTCTTCCGTCAAGTTCTGGACTAGCCTGTCCCACTCATAATCAGCCATCGGCTCCCTCCCTCCCCAAGACCCTCACTTATTCTTTCTTTGTATCTTTGGTGACACTCAGCCCAAGACTGGAGACATAGGGAAAGAGTAATAAATCTTTGCAGACTTTTCAATCAAAGGAATCGCCAACCAACATTTGTCTGATCTCGAATGCATTTTGGAGCGAGGCAAGCTGTGGAATGTAAACTAGCATTCCGGAGCGATGGCTGTCCGCTGGGGACAGACGACTTGTGAAAGCAGGAGGGGATGAGGAGACTCGGGGCCCAGGTGACAGCAGCTCATGCCAGCACGTCAAGGCCCCCATGCCCGCTGTGAGCTCCGGCGTGTCCACGAGGCACCCAGCCACTGCGCTTCCATCAGGAGAGCTCTGGCCCCAGAATACACAGTCCTGCCGCTCACATGTCCCAGGTTCACCCATAGGTGAAGCTGTCCCCAGCACACTCACAGCTCTGCCAGAGCCTTAAAGTGGCAGCCTTGACGCCAGCAGTGGCCCCTGTGCCTGTTCGGTGCCGGCTCTGATCTGGGCAGCAGCCAGGGGAGGTGTGGAAAGACGCTGGACCCTGAGCGTGAGAGGGTCCTTTGCCCCAGTCATGCTCGCCTCTTACCTGGGCAGCATCTCGCACACCAGTTCCCCAGACTTGATTCACACCAGGCACACAGAGAAAAAGGAACAGTGAGTCGTGCTCCCCGGAGCGGGGGGAGGGAGAGGACAGTCATCAGTGGGGACCCAGCCCTTGCCCGGTGGGGGGCTCTCTCCTCCAGTGTGCGGCAGCCTTTCACAGCGGGTCAGCTGGGAGGCTCTGCCTTAAACATCAGACCGTTCCGAGAGGTTTAGATCCAGATAACACCCTTGCTGCACCTGCTCCAGGCCAGGCACTGGGCGGGGACCCTTTCCTGTCTGCGTTTGCTTTCATTTTCTCTCGCAGTAGCACGCGGACAGCCTGTCCAATCAGGCCCCAGTGGGTGACAGCAGCCAGCACAGGCCTCCTTCCCGCCAGCGAGTCGCCTCCCCCGCGGCCCTCCTTTGCCCTGTAGTGTTAACAATAACAGCCTTCGTGCATTGAAGACCTCCGTGGGGACTTACGTTCGTTCCTGTGATTGTCAACAACGCTTCAAGGTAAATATTAATTACCTGCCTTTCATAGGTGTAGACAGTGAGGCCGAGGACGGCCACATCCTAAGGGTGAGGACGCCTTCTGCGGTGCGGGTCTCGGCTGAGCGTGAACAGACGAGCCAGGCGTCCACCGGCCAGCGGGTGTCCTTTTTCCCGTTTTCTTTCTTTTCTTTGTGAATCACCCAGATTTGGGAAGGGTGTTGTATTAGTCAGCGTGGGCTGCCATAACAAAATAGAATAGACTCTGGCTTAAACCACAGATGTATTCCTCACAGTTCTGGAGGCGGGAGGCCGAGATCAAGGTGCCGGCCACGTCGGCTCCCGGCCCGAGCTCGCTCCCTGGCTTTTGCAGGCTGCCACCTTCTCACTGTGTCCACACGTCTCTTCTTAGAAGGGCGCATACTCCACCATGAGGACCCCACCCTCGTGATCTCTTCCCCACGTAGTCATCTCCCAAAAGCCCTGCGTCCAGGGACCATTGGGATTAGAGCTTCAACATATGGATTTGGGGGGGACGCAGGCATTCAGTCTGTAGCAGGGTGATCCTGCACTACAGCTGGTGCTTCCTCTCCAGTCATTCAGGGAGGGGGGCTGGCAGTCCCTTCTTGTGTCTACCTTCCCTTAGTGCCCTGCTCTGTCTCTTCACCCTCTTCTGTTCTTCATTCCTTTC